TAGATAGATAGATAGATAGATAGATAGATAGATAGATAGATAGATAGATAGATAGATAGATAGATAGATAGATAGATAGATAGATAGATAGATAGATAAACTTTATTGATCCCTTTGGTAGGGTACTTCAGGGAAATTGTTGTTCTAGAAACAGCACAACACCGACAAAGATAGTAGCGCACATCAAATCAGAAAAAAAGCAGTAAACAACGGAAACAAACTGTTAGATAGGTCAGCAGCACAATGTAATAATAATAACAATAATAGTAGCAGTAGCAATGTAAGTAATAATGATAATAATACTGCTAATAATAGTAATATGCTATATAATACGATAATGAGTGTAGTTATAGGGAAATATAGTTGAGCATATAAAATATAAAGGTATGAAGGTGTATCAGATATATAACATAAATAAATATGTATATAAAAAAAAATATATATATCTATATATGTGTATATATACATTACACAACAACAGCAGGAGCACGGTGCGGTATTAGTAATAACAATAAGATCCTGTGTGTTTACCTGAATATTTTTCCTCGACTTCGATTGGTGCCGTCTTGAGGTTTCGTAAAGATGTGAGGGAGAATTCCCCAAGGGGTGGGAAAAGATGACTGCTGTGACGGATAGTCTGCAGAGTATCCTGTGCTAAAGTAGAATAAGAGAGGAGACAATGAAACACCCTTTTCTCAGCATTTCAGAAATTCAACACGCTCTTGTCGCGCCGCCCATTTCTGAGTCATTTCCGAGTTAGGAGGCTTCATGACTTTTCAACCTCTACCTTGCTTTTTGAGACCATTTAGGAAAGTTTTAAAAACACACTTTTGTCCTATTTGGAATAGAAGTTATCCAAATGTGGTGTGAGTCATGTACAATGAGTCTGCTGGTCTCCAAGAACTTGTTTGAGTTAAAGTTCTAATGTCCCAATCCCTCTCTCAGCAGTGTTTATCTAAAGAAACAAGGCCTCTGTGTTTTTTAAAAAATCTTTTCTAAATGCAAAACAAAGTCATCAGATGTGTCTTTATTTTAGTGCTTCTCTGGATGAAGGAAGCAGTGGAGCATCAGTGCTGAGTGGGCAGGTACGAACTCTCTTCCTTCACTGCAAACATGCTGTTTTAAACATGACAGTTTTCCCATATCCGTCTTAGCTTGAGGCTGTGCCTTCCATTCCTCGTGTGAGGTTTTCTCACTGGAGGATGCAGAGAAGCATTTTAATTCTGCCTGTCTGCTTTTGCAGCCTTCTTCTTCGTGCTCCTTTGACGGCAGCTTGAAGACCGATCAGTCAGACTCGGAGCCAAAGTGGCCTGAAGTCCCGCCTGTTCTCAATCAGAATGAAGACCGCAGGCGGAACAAGTACCTGAGAAAAGATTATCTAAAGGTCAGACAGTTTACACTTTCCCAAATTGGGTAGAACAAGCATCATTAGTTGCCTGAGGTTCTCTCCATCACATGATTATCTGTGCATGTCTCATTTAACTCTGTTAGTATCAAGTCATGCACAATGTTTTGCCGTTGCTTTCATAAATTCTGAGACAATCATCGCTAAAATGTGTCATTATCCCAGCTTATGAAAATAATTAAAATGGATTTTCCTTTATAGACAACACAGAAGTGAAAGGTCACATCTGAAAAAAAGTGTTGATCACCACAAATTCCATCTTCTTTTATTTATTTTGGGGTAACAGCTGACTAGATGTCCCAAAACCTGCATGACCAAACACCATTATTGGTGAGAGAAAACATGTTTTTGAGAGTCCTTTTCAGTAGGGTGGCTCAGCGGTTAGCACAGTCGCCTTGCAGCTAGAAGATCCCCGGTTAGGACGCTCTGGATCTTTCTGTGTGGAGTTTGCATGTTCTCCCCGTGTAGCGTGGTTCTCCGGCTTCCTCCCACAATCCAAAACCATGATGAGGTTAATTGGTGATTCTAAATTGTCCGTAGGTGTGAATGTGTGCTGTTACTGGAGCTCATGAAGTTTCACAAATGTGCATTAGGTAATAGCAAAGATCCCCGTGACACCCTCAGGCATTCTGAGGATGATGTTGGATGTTACAGTTATTTCGATTAAAATCAACATTGTAAATGATTTGCACTTATACAACGCTTTTCTACCTTAGTGGTGCGCAAAGCGCTTTACAATATTTTCTCATTCACCCATTCACACACACATTCATTCACCAATGGCGACAGAGCTGCCATGCAACTTCAGGTTCAGTGTCTTTCCCAAGGACACTTCGACGATGGATCGAACCACCAACCTTGCGATTCGAGGACAACCTCTCTACCGCATGAGCCACAGCCACCTCTTGTGAAAGAGCATTTATGAATGACAGTCATTTTCTTATCAGTGTGTTGAGTCAACAACATGTCTCCTCAAGTTGGCAGGGAAAGTCAAACTGGAGACCACAAAGCGAAATGAAACGCTTCAATTACTGTAAAACGAATAAAAGATGTTCTTTTCTTTTCCCTGCAGTACAAGTGTCAGAGCGCCCGCAAAAGCTCCAGCGGAAATGATGACTGCGAGGTGGGTGTGAGAAACATCATGTGTAGAAAAAAAAATAAATCAATATTTTATCATCTCAAAATACCTTTGAAGTGTTGTGACAATGCCCTTTTTCTGATTGCGATGAATACTACGTCCACAGGAGGGTTTGCGGAACGCTGATTTCAGCACCACTTTGACAGTGTTTGGACTAAAGCCGAGATCAGGTACTGCACAAGTGCTTGTTGATTGACCACTATTGTGTTGACTTTTTGGCACAGTGCTTTTCCTTTTCAGTGCGGTAATAATCTGGCAACTGTCTTGGGTTTATGAATAGATCAGGGTTTTTGTTTAAATGTGTGATGGAGATGTACGTGAGGAAATTCACATCAGACATGAATACAGTCCATACCTACTGGAGTTCTTCTGAATATACTTATGAAGATGATGCACATTACATTTTTGACAAATGTTATTATTCATTTCCTTCAGTGAGTAGGATGCAGTATTTTTTTTTTTAAACTTGCGATGCCTCCAAACTAGTGTAATTAGTAAAATAAAGAAAACTTTTTTAGTGTAAAACACCTAGGAAGTGTTCAGGCCAAAGCTCCTAACTGCTGTTATGTGAACACGTCTGTCTTCACGTGAAGCCAAAATATTATTCTGGGCAGAGTTCCAGCCTTTCTCTGGAAGTGGGGAGGTGTTTCTGAGGAACTGTTGATTCTTGATTCCTGTCTTTTTCTTGAATAATATTATCTATACAACGCTCAGTCCTCACGAGGGTCGCGGGGGGGCTGGAGTCTATCCCAGCTGACTCAGGGTGAAGGCAGGGGACACCCTGGACAGGTCACCAGTCTATCACAGGGCTACACTTAGAGACAGACAACCAAGCACACTCACATTCACACCTACGGACAATTTAGAATCACCAATTAACCTCAACATGTTTTTCGT